GTCTTTTAGCTTCCAGTGATGAGTGAGGACACTCAATATTTGTTACAGACAAGGACATACAGTATTTGTTTTTTATAACCTGACTTATTTCACTCAGCATTATATCTTCTATGTTCACCCACTTTGTCTGAAATGATAGGAATCCATTGCTTTTTATGAGTACCATGTCACGTGTGTATGTGCCCACATTGGGATTGCAGCATGGCCATTCTGTCTGGGTGAGGTTACTTTTCACTTTCCCTCTCACTGTCTCTCTCTCTCCAGTGAGTGCATGCACCATAGGCAAAAACCTCTAAAAAAAGTCTCTAAGGTCTGGAGCCTGCCAGTTAGGGAGACTATGAAAGCAATACAACCAGTATTCTGGCAATAAAGAGAATCAGTAATTCACTACTGCTTACTAGGAGGCATTTGAAAAGGTGTTGAGGCATGTGCATATGTGCTCCAAATCCCAAGAAGAGAATGGAAGAAAAGGGATTGCAGTGTGACCATCCCCCTGGGGGTGATTTCTTACTTTCTGTCTTTCAGTCTCTCTGGTGAGTGCATGAGCCCTGTAGGAAAAAAAAAAAAAGTACCTAAAAAAAAATAATAAAAACACACTGGGTGCATGTCTGTGTGTGTGTGTATGTGTGTATGTGTATCTAAACTCCTGAAAGGATAATGGAGTAGAGATTGTGGTTAGCATTACCAAAAATGTGATAGACCATCATTACCTGCTTCCTAGCATGATGTGCTGGGACACCATTGCTTATGTAGTGTTCCAGCCAAAAGTGTATATCCAGCCAAACCCAAACCCAAATTGGAACATATACTAAAAAGTAAATGGCTTGTATTCTTTCTTTCTTTCTTTCTTTCTTTCCTTTCTTTCTTTCTTTCTTTCTTTCTTTCTTTCTTTCTTTCTTTCTTTCTTTTTCTTTCTTTTTCTCTCTTTTTTTTTAGAGGTTTTTGCTATAGGGCGCATGCGCTCACCAGAAAGACAGAGACAGAGAGACAGAAAGCGATAAATCACCCCCCCCCCAGGGGGGATGGCCACGCTGCAATCCCTTCTCCTCATTCTCCTCTCGGGATCTTGGGCATGCACGCACACGCGCCTGGGCATGAGTTTAAGCCACCAGGTCTGGGACTCAAACTGCAGTTAACTACATGGGAGTCCAGTGACATAGCCATTATGCCAACTGTTGGTCCCAATGGCTTGTGTTCTTAAAAAGGTCAAGATCTTTGCAGACAAAGAAAGGTAGAGAAACTTTACAGACCAAAAGATATTAAACAGCTATGACAAGTAAATGTCATGAACTCAAGTTAGGAAACCACATAATATTAAAAGACATTTATTTAGCACAGTTCTGAACATTTGCATATGGACTGTCAAGTAGAAGAGCCTTGCGTACATGTTTTGATAATTGGACTATGGTTATGCACTGTAAAGGGACTGGATGTCTGCAACTTACTCTCAAAATAACTAAGGAAAAGTCTAATTTGATCATCTATCAAGGGGATAATAAATGAGGCAAAATGTAAACAACTGGTTAATCTAGGTAGTTTGTGGGGATACCCTCTGCTATATTTTTAGGTTTGAATGATTTCAAAATAAAACATTACTGAAGAGCTAAAATTTACCCTGAATATATATAAAATATGCACACACATATGTATGTATAAAGTTGAAGCCTCAAGTTACTGTACATAGTCTTTTCTGTACAAAAAAAGTTTCTCTCAGATTTCATACACTCATAGAATATTGTTTATTTTGGAACGTCTGGTGCATTGCTGCTCTCATGTCAAAATGAAGTCCATGAGATTGCAGTGCACTGAGGACCAAGGGGCATTGAAGAATGTGTTCACAGTTCCTACTCCAGTGGCTTTGCTACTGCAAGAGAAAATTGGATCCATGTCCTTCCTACACTTAATTTGAAGGCAAAGTCTTTGCAAGTGTGCCAATGCCTGCCTTTGTATTCATCCCACCATTAGAGCATTACAAATTCAGGGAAATCCCATAGCAGCTCCACAGAGCACATCCGTTAGTCTTGGTGCTTTCCCCCAAACACACATTTTGCTTGCTGGTGCACAATCTGTGCCAGCTTGATCCATTTTAATTTTTAACTGAATTAATTCTGTCCCCGTCAGCATGTGCCAAGTATGCAATGGAAAGCCAAATGCCCTCCTTAGTGTCTCCACATGCAGTTGTCCTAAACACAGTAAAGTGTTGAAGATTCCTCAATTACCTAGTTTAGTGCCATCAGAACAGCCATTTTTAATGTTTCAATGACAGCTTTTGTGATGGTGGGAGAGATAAATGATTTAACTAAATAGTATAAAAATTATTTGTGGCATATGTGGACTCCAAGGTCAGTCTTTCAGTGGAGTAGTCACTTACATTAACATCATTACCATTTCAAAAGCTTAGCAAGTCATATCAGAGATGCCTCATCCACTAATACAATTTTTTAAAAAACTAATTATTATTCAATTTGAGAGAGGCAGAGAGAAAGGAAGGGAGAGTGAGAAAGCAAGCTACAAGCTGCCAGGTCTGGGACTTGAACCGTGGTCAGCCATGTGGGACTCTAGTGCTTTAACCACCACTAATACCATTCTTAATGAGCTTGATCATCTCCTATTATTTTCAGAATCACTAGGATACGACACACCTAGTGGACTTTAACACTTCTTTAGCTCACCAGCATCTGAACCCTGTTGGGGAAACCTTTGGTGCAAGCCCTAGTGGGAGCCAAAGATAGCCTCCCTAGAGGAGTTAACATTGCTATTCATTTTCTCAGTCATCTTTGCAACTAGGGCAAGAAGCAAAGCCCCACAGGGGTGAGAGGATTCTTTCTCTGGTGGTGTTCATGACAGACTTGCTTGACGCATTGTTTTAGGTGTCTTTCCAATGGCTTATGCATTTCCTAGGTCTGGTGTCATTAATAGAAGTGAGGTGAAATTCTCTTGAGAAGTAATGTGTAAATTGCAAACTGGTTTAATTCACATACTTGTTATTACTAAGACAACCTCAAAGAACACACACTGTATTGACTACTGCTGTATAAAATTTCTCGCAAGTCCAAGATGCTTACCCCCTTTCATCCATCAGTCTCACTTCTAGGAATGTGTCCTGCAAATATATTTGTGCACAAGTGAAATAATGACATAGGAGATGTACAATATTGTCTGTTATAGCAAAACCTGAAAACTGTCTTTATATCCTATCAAAAATAATGCTTAAAGAAAACATCCTCCAAATACACTAGAATATTAGAAGACTATAAGAATGAGAAAGCATTTTATATATTGAAATAGAAAGATATCTTGAGTCCATTTTTTTTAAGGTTTTTGCCATAGGGTGCATACAAGAGAAGAGAGAAAGAGATATAGGGTAGAAAGAGACACAGACAAAAAGGGAAAGTGATAAATCATCCCCTGGGAGTGGGGGTGACTGTGCCATAATCCCTTCTCCTCTCCTCTCCTCCTGTCTTGATATTTTGGACACACACGTGCATGTGGCCAGTGTGATTTTTCCAGCGGCTGGGTCCAGGACTCAAACTGTGGTCAGCCATGTGAGAGTCCAGTGCCTTAACCATCACGCCACCTGCTGGCCCCCTGGGTCTATTTTTAAGTTTTAAAAAGCAAGGCACATACCCAAGTGCAGAGTTCTATCTTCTGTGAAATAAAAGGAAAAAGTAGGAACATATATGTGTAATTGCTTATATAGTAAAGAAGATACTTTAGAAGAATACACAATTAATTAGTGATATTTACTCATAAGGCAGTGAGGATGATGTAGGAAACGGAGTGGCCAGGAGTCCTTTTGCTCTTTGTCTTACTATAGTTTCATTTTTCAAACATATAAATGTGTTACTTACCTAATAATTAACTAAATTAAAATTAAAAGTCCAGTCAATATATTTTTGTAACATAACTGCGTGCTTTATTGAGATACACAGTAAAGCAGTAATATAATACAATAGTAAGGCATATATTTGGTGAAGTCTGATATGTTGTGAAAATGCAGTAAAACTGAAGTTTAAAAAAATAATTAGTAAATGTTACAGTGTTGGTGTTAAAACACAATATATTATGATACTCAAGTAAGAACCCAGTACCTGAAAACAATGACATAACATGCCATGTGATGTTTATGCTTCAGTTACATTGATTATGATTTACAGTTTAATACTCAGTGGTTATAAAGAACACGAAATAATGTCCAAATTATGCTTAAAATGCAGCAATAAAGCTCTCAGTTTTATTCAAATATTTTGACAGACTCACTCCAGAACTAATGTCTAAAAGGTAAAACAGAAACAAAAATATTAAAACAAAATTATGCACTCTATTTACCTCTGATTTTAGAATGAAACCTAAACTTTTTAGTAGGATGTAAAGGAACCCTTTGTTTTAAATCTTGGTTAAAAAAAATCCTTGGGTAAAGAAAGAAATCTAGCATCACATAAGAAAACAAATGCAAGACTAAACCAAATCTTTATGACATTTGTTACTTTAGAGCTTTGGGTTTTCTTTTGAAAATTATAAAGGATAAAGAAAATGGAGAAAAATGTTCACACAAGAGACAAGTGGTGAAGCTGTGAATCAGGTGTACATAACTGTCAGGAACACCCCAAAACCAAAGTGAGGTAGAAAGAGCATGAGAAGCCGTGTTTGATGTTAATTATCATTAATAGAATAATGCATGAAACCCACTCTCTAAAAGTTAATTACACTTGATGCCAGAGGTAACAGATTTGCGAAATAATAGGTCACATGGTGATTTCTGTTGAATGAATGATAAAAAAAAATAAAAGAGTAATAAAAGGATATGAAAGAGTAAAGCTTTTCCCTACCAGTCCTTAGCTTTTCCTCTTGAATTTTTCTCCTTTAAAATAAAACAATCTTTTTAAAAATATATTTAACCTGCTAAATTCACCAAAAAAGGGTTTGGGGTAGCTTTTGCTTTTGGAACATTTAAATTACTTTGCCTTCTCACAAGTCTGTGTGGAGTTACTTGCTGAGAAATGCATAGGACAGAAACACAGTTCATGGGCTTCTGGGTAGATATTTACCACTATCATGATGCAATTGGGGCTTTACACATTTTCCCGAGGGTTTTTTAAAATTAAGTCTTGTGACAATTAAAAACTCATTGCAACGGGGGGGGGGAGCTAAATAATATAAAGCCTATCTATATCTGTTTGACTGTGAGAAGAGGGCAGAATCATTTAGTTGTAATTATAGAAACCTCTATGTGTGGTTATAAACATTTGTCCATTTCTTCAAGAAGTGGCTTGCTCCCTAGCAGGGATTGGCTGGTAATCCATAGCCTTCCAGTCGTACCATTGTCCTCCTCCTCCCTGGGAGTTAAAAATGCCTTGGGATGCTCTGCCTTCCACTGATTAAGATTTAAATCTAAATCGTGGCATTGCCAGTGGCAGGAGGCGGAAGCTGACTATATCAGCCAATGGATTACTCTGATATAGTAAGTCCTGTGTATTCATTCACATGTTCCTTTAAAAAAATTCAATATTCTAGTTGTCTGTGGAAAGCTTAAAATGAGAAACATCTGGAGCCCCAGACAATGTTTTAGTGTGGTAGTTTCCTCCTGGCTTCAGGCTCCAGGGAAAATTCATTCTAGACCAAGCAGGTAAGCCTGGATAACTAGAAGCAATTTCTTTCCATTAGAAGTAGCAGGAACATTTGAAGAAGAAATTTAAAAGGTCTATAGAAACTCATGTCTATTTATCTATATACCTATAGTATTTATGTATAGACATATAGATGTATAAAATGCAAACACACAGCCAGCCCCACTCAGCTAACAATTCCCAAAAGAACAAGTGAAATAGTCATTTGGTGGTGTTAGAGGAAGTCCTATTTTTTTCATATGCAAGAAGAAAACAAAAGCCATGAACTTCATATGGATATCACGTTGAAAGGATGCAAAACAATGCGCTGCCTCAAAGTTTGTGTGTGTGTTTGTATGTGTGTGTGTGTCTGTGTGTGTGTGTGTGTGTGTGTGTGTGTTTGTTTGTGTGTATATGTGTTTGTTTTTAGGGGTTTTTATAAACAACTTTTTTTTTTATAAAGCACACTTTAGTTTACAATCTTCCTTTATAACTGTTATAAATTTTTAAACAACCCAAAATGTGTTTCATATAAAGAAATGGCAAGTTATTTAGCTATCAAGATTTTACATGTAGTTTTCTTATAACTTTTTTGTACAATTGCATAGACGTGTAAAACCTGCCATTGTTAACAAAACAATAACAGACTTAGAAACTACTGAAATCTACAGTATAGTACCACTACCCTTCACAAAAATATAGATTTTATTTCTTGTAAACTCTTACTGTCTAATCCTCTTTGTTGTATGAATATTATAAAAACCATGCGGGAATCAGGAGTTGTAAAACATTTATTCTGCCCCTTCTTCATCTGTCATGACTGAAACTAAGGACTCCATCGCTCTGCCCAAATCATCTGCCATGTGGAAAAGGCTTCCTACATTGTGTCCTGGAAAACAAAGAGAAAGAAAGACTTCACAAAGGCGTACACGTCATCACCCTGGTTCTTCACCATTTGGGAAATCATTCCCTATTTCTGAGTGAAGACAACATAGACGCTGCACCAAGGGTGAACACAATAGCATCTGATTTTCATCAGTTTCCAGGAAGAAGCAAAGCCTTGTTAATGAAGCCATTACACACTGTTAGTATCAGCTTAATACTGGATAAGGCTTCTGGTGTCATTTAAATGGAAAAACGTCAAACACTGTACTCATCTTCCCAATATCATATCAAAAGGATTCCATGGGTAAGCCAAAGAGTCCTACTATAACAGCAGTGTTTCATGATGGGACACACCTTTTCCAACCTGCTGAGAGAGATGACTTACTATCTAATCATACTATTTTTTTTACTGTCAAACTGCCAGTGCTATCTCCAATATCACCACCACCACCACCACCACCACTACCGTCATCATCGCTCCCACCCTCACCACCAACTGAAATCTTCATTTCAATAGTATTGTTGGCTCACTTCTCAGGCTCTGGAAGAAGTGACTATTTTCTCCCTGTTTTTACTTGGGTTGAAAAATAATCTCTTGAATTGACCTCTTTGTACACTAATATTAAAATTAGGAAGCTTAAAAATAAAAATCACTTTTCCTTCCAAACTATTCATGAATCTTCAGAATAAAAATCACTTTTCCTTCCAAACTATTCTAGAGCCTAATTATAGTATGACCCCCATGTATTGCTCAGATTTGGGTATCCTGTGAATCTGTATTTGATCTCCTCCTAAATGAAGGTTAACTATCAGAATAGCCTTTTACTAATAATGTGGCATGACCTAGCATTAATTCCCCAGCATGAGTAGCACAAAGTCTCTGGGTACTTTATAGCAAAATTCAGATCCAAAGTAAGATAGTCTGAGACATACTTTATAGCTTGCCGCCTTTTCATGTATGTCCTTTATTTTTATATGGCTAATTTTAATTATTGGACATTGTCAAATCATTCCACTATCAAGTACTGTCTTTGGAATTGAAATGCTTTACTACGCTATTACTACTTTGCCATGTATCAACTTTACAGATTCTCATAATAATTGTTAAAAATCCCAATAAAAATTAAAGATAGACTAAGTCAAGTATTCTGTTCTAATATTTATTTTGAGAGACATATATTTTTTAAAAAATATGAGAGGATCTAAAGAAGATTCATGGGCTGGTACTTAAATAGTGATGGCACCAGATCAATTTAAGACTTATTAAAAGTTTAATGTCATTCAGACATTTTTATTAAGCTGACCAAGTTTGTAAATCTCAATGAGCTTTATCAGTGCAAAGAGTTTCAGTGAGAACTAATTACCTTTTAAAAAAATCATTCTGGATTTTGGTTGAGACTGCAATTAAAATCCCTTCTAACAGAGCATATGCACTATTCATAAAGTGAACCAATAGTTAGGCAGCCCTCAGTGAAGGGCTCAAATCATCTTTGACTTTTCTATGCCATAAAAACCACAGGAAGACACAGTGGGCCCTTTGCTCCTCCTCAGAGCTCACTGTACAAGGATGTAACCAATGCTACTGTCTGGAGAGTTTCTCCTGGATCTATTTTTGACTGCCCGGCAACCCTGGGAAATCTGCCCAGTTATTCACACATAAGTGAAAACGGATGGACTACCTGCAAGTTTCTAATTACTAGCGATCTTAACAGCTACTAACAAAGCCAGTACACACAAAACCCAAGACTATTACAATCTACTTCCTGACTATAATTCAAACTATTTCTCATGGCCCACATCTGCCTATACAACAGCCCACCAGGTTACAAGAAAATGTACCACAAAACATAAACAAACACAAGAATTCATCTTTTCTTGTCAGTTTACTAATAATCCAAGGTGCCTCTTTAGACTATGTGCTAGGAAATGTGGACCTGTAGTTCAAAAGATAATAAAACACATAAATGCATTTACAGATTATATAGCTAAGTGCTACTTCCATTTCTTGAAATGGTGTTTAGTTACTACCCAGAAGGAAAATTCCTGAGTCTCTCAAGGAGCATAAGGTTTAGGAGTACCTTCTATTTAAAAACTTGGCAGAGACAACAGAGGTTCATTATTCTTAATATACCATACTGTCACATCATGTCATGTGACCTTTGACCTGTTTAGAGTGTTAAATTTTGCAAATAACCTCGTGGGCATCCCTACACTATAAAAAATGAAGACCTTTTGGAGTCGCTTCACTGTATCTATATTACACCTTTGGTTATTTCATTTCTAAATAACTGTTTCATCAGAATAATGACTTCATTTCTCTTTCATAGAGGTTTTTCATTAGATCCAGAAAAAAAAAGTCTATCTATTTGCCAAAATACTGCTCCAAAGATCCATACCTCAATCCACTAGAGGGGTAAAACTGTACTGTAATAAAGATATATAAAACAGATTTGTGGTCTGGTTCTATTACATGGTCGGGAAAGTCATGACATATTTTTCTAGGTTTTTCTATGCAAAAATGTAACGTGACTTTCCCAATAACCCAATATTATCCAAGTGAGCATTAGTGAGGTCATTACTTTTACCTGGCAGATTTTTCTACAGTCAAAATTACAATCTCATACTATGAACATGAGAGGCACTGAAAAGCAGCCAGGATTCAGGTGTTTGCCATCAGCATCAGGCACAAGTTGACACAAAAATATGTCTATAGAAAGTATTAATTTAAGCCATTCTTAAGCAAGGATTATTGAACACAAAGGCACCATGCGTTGAACATTAGGGCAGCTGGATGTTTTTTCAAGTTGGCGCTAAGTGCAACACATTTAGTCTTACACGCCACCACTGCCCGAGGGAGTTGTTTTCTGCAGTGATTGGAATTGAGACTTTCTGGCAATGATCCAAGACCTCAATAGCAATCTGGCTCTCTATTTTTTAAAAACACAATTCCTGAATAAATGGTTAGCATTCAACTGGTCAAAGCAAAGCCAGAATAATGTTTTGTGAAATTTGCTTATCTTCTCTATAATTTCATTTTTGAAAGAAATATCTGATCTACTGTACACTTCATGTGTTTTCATAGCATTAAAAGAGTCATCATTTTGTTTCTCTTGACTACTGGAAACTTCTCTCGACTACAGTATACCTCAAGTAGTAAAGTCTCGAAATGGCTATATGACTTCTATTATATGTGCCTTTTAAAAAAATTGTAGATGAGATAAATATGTTTAGGGTGGTCAAAATTATGGTGGCTTTTTTTTTTCATGAAAAGTTAAAATACATTTTAAGGGGCACTTACCATAAGAATGACACCCTCCACCCACCCACCCCCCCAAAAAAGAAAAAAAAAGAACCCAAGAAATTTCCCATGTGAAGTACATGAGCCAGACAAACTTTCAGGAACATTCGATGTTTACCAATACAGGTTTCCTCCATTTTTCCTCCCAGGTTACAACTCTCTCCTTGGGACCCCACTGCCCAAAGCCTAGGAAGGGAGCACTAGTGTAGACACATCAAGAACCATTAAATTAATTAGATTTCTATGGTATAGCATTCAAAGAATTTCCAGTATAATTTCTTATGTTTAAAGGAATCAGTGGCCGCCACTCTAGTCCATCTTGTTGGACTAGATCCATACTCTTCTGATGTAAGAAAGATTGTACACCCACCCACTCTGTCTCCCAGAATAGTACATGCTACTGCCATTCCATGGAAGAGCTTTCCTTCTCTTCTCCTTCACATTAAACTTGCTTAATTGTTTTAAGTCTGTCACTCAACATTCTATCATCCAGTAATCACTTTATCAGGTAATCCAACCATACTCCTGGTAGAACAGGAGTAAAAAGCAGTTTTCACTTAAGATTTCAAGCCAGATTTGGTGATAATGTTGTACTCTATCCCCTTTTAATCCATGAATAGGTAATAAAAACCCTCAAGACTTCAACATTCAATTTTTTTAACCTAATTGGTTATTGTTTTATCTGGCTCCAAATGCCAACTTTAAAAAAGAGCATCTTCTAAAGGGCAAGTTTAGATGACATAAACCTTTCAAATGTCATTTTCTAAAGCAACAGTACAGCATAAGGGTTAAGAGTGTGACTTTGGAGCCAGACTGCCTGGATTAAAATCCTGACTCCATCTCCTTAGACACATTGCTCATCCTCTCATTGCCTCAGTTCCCTTACCTGCAAAATAGGATTAATAAGAATACCTACCTCATAGGTTTGTCATGAAGATTACATGATGAAAAAGATGGAAAGTGCTTAGAACAGTGCTTGCACACACTACGTGCTCAAAAAATGTTAGCTAAAAAAAAAAAAGAAAGAGTTGAGGAACCAAGGAAAAAAGAAAACAAAAACCAAAATGAATTCATCTCAGAAGAATAAAAACCAAAGGCACTGGCAGAAAATGTTAAGGCCCTGGAAGTGGAAGGAAGCTTTGTGACTCATCAATTATATTCAGGGCTAAGTTTATTTTGAAGATTTTGTTTCTATCACAAATGGTAACAGATGATGAACCGCAGGATTTCGACTTAGGGACTACAAAGGATTGCCATTGTAAAGAGATTCCTGTCCCCCAACCCCTGCTCCTATCGTCACGGTGATGACAACGGCAATGAACATTTGAGGAATGTTCCTTATGAGCTGCAAATGGAGAGGTGACTACCATCCCTACATGAGGACACAATGTGTAATACACACATGCTCGTGCACGCACATAATTCTTACACAAACATCAAACATAGAAAGCAGGATGAGACAGACAGAAGCCATGGCTGTGAGCCTGAATCTCACTAACCTCTCTCATTGGCTTTCCAGGGGTATTTCTTCCTTTAATAATAGAGAGAGGAAGAGGCAGAGATATCAGAAAGGAAAAAAAAACATGCATAAATATACAATTTCATATCAATTTGCTTCTTTTACCAAATGTTGAGATGACAATTCCTATATCCCCTTCTGGAAAAACAAAAACAAAAACAAAAAAAAACCCAAAAGACACATCTAG